AAGCTGCCAGGTCCAGGACTCGAACTGAAGTCAACCATGTGGGAGTCCAGCACCTCAATCACTACACCACCGGTTAGCCCCTTTATTTACTTATTGTGTCTATAATTAGACGGTAACGGCCTCTGTAATAAGGACCTTCTCTGTTATTCATGGTTTCTAACCACAGAGTGGGCACTTGATAGCTTGTTGCTGGAGTAAATTGTCAACTGTGGCAGTAGATCAAGTCCAAATGTGGAAGACCCTTGTCCTCCTGCTATAGTCTCTCTCCCAGTTGGTGGGACCGCCACCCACTCAATCACCCACACTAGAAACCCTAGTGGTCGTAACTCTTCTTCCTCTTTCGCAGAAGTCAGCAAATTCTCATGCTTTTGCTGCCCATGTATTTCTCAAGCCTCCCTTCTCCTCTCCATCCTGAGCTATCCATCCCAGCTCGGGCTTAGTCTTCTCTCATGTACTTCTTGGCAACAGCTTTCTGACTGGTCTATTTGCCTGAAGTTCTGCACCTTAAATCTGTCTTCCAGGGGCCAGCAGATAGCGTAGTGGTTAGGGCACCAGACTCTCACATGGCCAGCTGCAGTCTGAGTCCTGAATCTGGTGACTTGGAACTCAGGCTAGTCATGTGTGTGGGGGGGCCCAAAATCTCAGGAGGAGAATGGAGGAGAAGGGATTTCAGTGTGGCCATCCCTGCCCCGGGGAGTGATTTCTTACTTTCCTTCTCGCTGTCTTTCTCTGGTGAGCACACTCATCCTATGGCAAAAACCCTAAAAAAAAATTAATTAATTAAAAAAATAATAATAAAAATTCATCTCCCAAACTGCCAGCAGCGAGAGCTTTCTAGAACAGAGATCTGACCTGCCATTTCCCAGCTTACCCTGATAATCGCAGACTACTGCCGGCACAGGAGGTGTCCTGTGATCTGGCCCTGCCTGCATCTCACCTCACAGCCCATGTCTCTGGCCTATGGCTTCTCACTCCCAGTCGAAATTGCAGTTAATGGCTCTACTTCATTTGCCTTTTTGTATCTGACTTATTATTGTTGCTATTATTTTTATTATTATTGCCAGAAGGCATGTGTGGTCACCAGAGAGAGAAAGAGAGAGGGGAGAGGGGGGAGAGAGAGAGACAGAGAGAGAGGAAGCACCCCTAATGGAACGTGGTCATGGCTCAGTACTGTTTTGTCCTCCATTACTCCATCCCATCAGGATTTTGGGCATGAATGCACACACATCCAGTGTGTGTTTTTGTTGTTTGTTTTTTTCCTGGAGGGGGGCGGTTCACATTTTATTGGGGGCCCCAAGGGAGCCCTATCAACAGAAGTGCTCACAGTTTCTTCAGCCGCTCCAGGCTGCAGCCCTGTGGATCCTGGGGGTGGCTGGGCACATCAGGCACGTTCCCGTCATGTTGGAGGGGCACTGGGTAGTTGTAGGGGGTGGCGTGGTTCGTCATGATGGAGTACTTGGGGTAGAGGCCGAGTGAGAGCAGGACGATAGCAAGGCCAGCACTGGCTCCTTGGACCAAGCATTCTGAGGAAGGCGGCGAGTCTTGCCGCCACGTTGGTCTCCGCAGCAGCGGCGGCCCCCAGAGTGTTTTTCAAGTCACAGGGGCTGAGATTTGGACCAAAGCCAGACATTTGGGATCTGACTTTTTTAACCGTTGTGCTATGGGACCTGCCCTGTTTGTTTGTTTGTTTGTTTAAGGTTGTTTGTTTGCTTATTTATTTATTTCATGAGCAAGAGAGACAGCACCCCCAATGGGGTCTTGATGTCATGATCCACTCTCAGCTTCAGCCAGCCCCAGACCGTGGGCACATGCATGTCCCGTGTGCACAGGGAGGTCTCTGGACATCAAACTGGAACCTTCCAGCGTGAGTCAGCCTCACACAGTCATGTTTTGCCTCTGTGCCAGGCGGCGGGTCTTGCCGCCACGTTGGTCTCCGCAGCAGCGGCGGCCCCCAGAGTGTTTTTCAAGTCACAGGGGCTGAGATTTGGACCAAAGCCAGACATTTGGGATCTGACTTTTTTAACCGTTGTGCTATGGGACCTGCCCTGTTTGTTTGTTTGTTTGTTTAAGGTTGTTTGTTTGCTTATTTATTTATTTCATGAGCAAGAGAGACAGCACCCCCAATGGGGTCTTGATGTCATGATCCACTCTCAGCTTCAGCCAGCCCCAGACCGTGGGCACATGCATGTCCCGTGTGCACAGGGAGGTCTCTGGACATCAAACTGGAACCTTCCAGCGTGAGTCAGCCTCACACAGTCATGTTTTGCCTCTGTGCCATCATCCAGCCCTCCACCTGACTTTGTGAACTTCTCAGGTTGCACTCTCTGCCTGAACTGCATTTGTTTTCCCCACCTAACTCCTCATCATCCTTTAAAAATCAGCTCAGTTGCAAGACCAGCAGTTAACGTAATGGCTATGTCGCTGGACTCCCATGCAGACAATCGCAGCTCAAGTCCTGGACCTGGTAGCTTAAACTCACGCTGGGCGCATGTGCGTGCGTGCCCAAGGGATTGCGGTGTGGCCATCCACCCGGGGGTGATTTTTCACTTTCTGTCTCTCTGTCTCTCTCTGTCTGCCTGGCGAGCACACGCACCCCATAGCAACCTGGCGAGCACCCGCCCCCCATAGAAAAAAAAAAAAAAAAAAAACTCTCCAAAAAAAATTAAAAAGAATTATTTGGGTCAGCAAGTGGCATGGCAGTTAAGGATGCTGGACTCCTACATGGCCGACTACGGTTCAAGTCCCAGACCTGCTTGCTTTCTCACTTTCCCTCTCTCTGTCTCTCTCTCTCACTCTGTCCCTCTCTGATCAAACTAAAATAAATAAATAAATAAATAAAGTGAAATAAAATAACTCTTTTAAAATATTTATTTAATTTATTCATTCAATTGTTTTAATTTGACCAGAAAGAGACACACAGAGAGAGATGGAAAGTGAGAAAGCAAGCCATCAGATCTGGGACTCAAATCACAGCTGGCCATGTGGGAGTGTCCAGCACCTTAACCACCAAGCCACCCACTGGCCCCTACACTTACCGTTTTGTTTTGTTTGCTATAGAGGGGACAGCAGGTGGCATTGTGGTTAAGAGGCTGGACTCCCACATGGCTGACCACAGTTTGAGTCCCAGCAGCTTGCTTTCACTTTCCCTCTCTCTCTGTCTCTCTCTGGTCTAATTTAAAAAGAATAATGGGACTAGCAGATGGCGTAATAGTTACATCATTGAACTCTCATGTAGTCAAGCATGGTTCAAGTCCCGAACTCAGTGGCTTTTTTTTTTTTTTTTAATTTGCTACAGGGAGCATGCACTCACTAGAAAGACAGAAAGAGAGAAAGTGAGAAATCATGCCCCAGGGGGGATGGCCTGGCTACAATCCCTTCTCCTTCTTCTCTTAGGATTTCGGGCATGCACACACACACTCCCAGTGTGCTTTTCTTTTTCTTTTTTTTAAAAGAGAGATTTTTGCTAGAGGGTGCATGCAGAGAAAGAGACAGAGACAGAGAAAGAGAAAGTGCGAAATCACTACCTAGGGGGACAGCTGTGCCTCAATCTCTTCTCCTCTATTCTCCTCTTGAGATCTTGGGCATATGTGCACATGTGCCTGGTGTTTTTCAAGCCACCGGATCCAGGACTTGAACCCTGGTCAACTACATGGGAGTCCAGTGACGAAACCATTACTCCATCTGCTGGTCCTTTCCAGTTTGTTTCTCAAGTCATGGGGTTTGGGACTCAAATCATGTAGTTGGCCATATGAGATCCAGTCACCTTAACCACCATGCCACCACTGGCTCCTTTTCTTTCTCCTCTCCTTTTGTTCATCTGTTCCTTCCTTCCTTCTTTCCTTCTTTTTTTTTTGAGAGGTTTATGCTATAGGGCGCGTGCGCTCACCAGACAGACAGAGAAAGACATAGAGACAGAAAGCGAGAAATCACCCCCCAGGGGGAATGGTCATGCCGCAATCCCTTCTCCTCCATTCTCCTCTCGGGATCTTGGGCACGCACGCACACGCGCCCGGTGTGAGTTTGAAACCACTGGGTCGGGGACTCGAATCGATGTCGGCTACATGGGAGTCCAGCGACATAGCCACTATGCTAACTGCTGGTCTCCCTTCTTTCCCTTCTTTACCAGACAGCACTTGCAGTCATCAGAGAGAGACAGAGAGACAGAGAGAAGAAAACACCTCTCCTAATGGGTGTGACCACACTGCAAACTCTTCTCCATCTCCCCATCCTGTTGGGATTTGGGGCACACATGAACACACACCCAATCCATTTTTTCTGTATCTTTTTTTCTTAGAATTATTTTATTTAACTTTTTTTTTTTTTAATTTGACCAGAGAGAGAGAGACAGAGAGAGAGAGAATGACAGTGAGAAAGAAAGACACTAGATCCAGAACTTGAACCATGGTTGGCCGTGTGGGAGTCCAGCACCTTTAACCACTTTGCCACCTGCCAGCCCTTCTCCCCAGTGCATTTTTCAAGTTACCAGGTTCAGGACTCGAACCATGTGGTTAGCCATGTGAGATCTAATTCCCTTAAACCACTAGGCCACATGACTGGCCCCAATTTATTTGTTATTTGTTATTTCCATGAGAGAGAGAGAGAGAGGCAGAGACCCTGCGCCATGCAATCACCCACCTTGCCAGCCCAGGTCATAGGTGTGTGTGCACCTGGCATGCTCAGGGCAGTTTCGGGACACGAACCCAGGACTTCTTCCATGTGGGTTCAGTGGTGCTACTACTGTGCCACTGCCTGGCCCGGCGCCTCTTCTTTCACTGTTCACATGCTGCATGTTACAGAGCATGCCGCTTCTGCCTGCCGCTCCCTCTTGGCCGTGTGTCTGGGATCTGCGTACATGGGAGACAGCAGATCCAGCATAACTCCTGCCAGCAGGGAAAACCTCCACGATGCTGATAAGAGGCAGCTTCTAATAACTCAGGAGGTGCCCACCCTCCCCAGTCCCTCCCCACGTGCCACCAGCCAGCACCCTGGCACGCTGGGAAAACCTCCCCACAGACTCTGCCCTGGGTCCAGAGTCTGGGCCCTACCCACGTAGCCACTGGGAGCAACTGGAGGCCACACGCACCAGCAGCCCCTTGTTTTCAGGTACTGAGGGTCATACCCCTAATCGCTAGCAGCTCCTCTGCTCAGAGGGAAGGAGGGCTGCGAGGGAGTCTGGGGTATGGCGCTCCACGCCAGATCTGCGGACATGCTGCTTAAGGGAGCAGGGAGGAAATCTGTGGGGGCCAAAGACTAAAAATCACTCAAGCCCAGACAGGGTTGGGGTCAAGGCCAGGACAGGTTTGGGAAGAGGCTCTGCAGAAGGGCAAGAGGGTCAAGGGTGGCCCGGAGCTGACCAACCCCTCCCACACGCAGCGATTTGTGACAGCCACCCCGGCCTCTGGAGCCATGGCCAGTGAGGAGGATGACCCGAGGAGCTGTGTGGTGTGTGGGGACCGAGCCACAGGCTATCACTTCCACGCTCTGACCTGTGAGGGCTGCAAGGGTTTCTTCAGGTGAGAGTCTGTTCACTCCTCAGCGGGAACAACCCCCAAAGAGCCTGTCAGCCCTGGCACAGGCCTGAACTTGTACAGCTACGTCACAGATCCTGTCTCCTGGAGTCTAGCTGCCCTGTGGCCAGCATGCCAGGTCTCGCTGACAACGCAGTGTAAACTGGTGACATAAGAGGCCGAATGTCTGTTGTAGCTATCGGAGTTAGAGTTACCCACTCTCTGCAAAGTCCCCAGCTAGGACGGCATGGCAAGTCTTGCCTGTGTACCCATGGGAATGCTCAAGATGTGTCACACCTTATCCACTCTTGGGGCCTTTGGACTCAGATCAAATTAGCACCTGTCACCACAGATGTCCAGGTCTTTTATTTGATTTTTTTTTAAAAAAATGGTGTTTAGGGGCCGGCAGGTGGCATGGTGGTTAAGGGCACTGGACTCCCACATGACCAACCACAATTCGAGTCCTGGACCTGACAGCTTGCTTTCTCACTTTCTCTCTCTCTCTTCCTCTCTGGTCAAATTAAAATAAGTAAATAAATAAATAAAGTTAAATAAAATAATTCTTTTTTTTTTTTTG